AATCCGTCCTTCTGCAGATTCAAGGGAACTAACAGAGTTGTTCGTTACCGGAGTACTTGATGGGGTACCGTCTCCTTTTAAGGTTTGCTCAACAACCTGAGTTCCTGTTCTACGTTTATTTTCAGAATCACCTGTTAACTTTTCGTGATCACTTTGGGATACTTCTTGCTCTTGATGCGAATTCGTAGTGACTTGGTTAACTTCTCTCCCACTAGGATCACCAGGAGTATCGGGACCCGGTTTACCTGAAGCAGGTTTTGTGGGTTCTGCAGCCTTAGTAGCATTACCAGACGTATCGCAAGAATCAATCTTAACAAAAAAAGGAGGAACACCAACATAAGTCACACAATTACTGGACTCAGAAGCTTTAGGACTATCAGCCCATACTAACCCACAAGCACAACAGAGTGTAAGAGGTAATAAAAAGAGCAGGTAACACCTCACCATTACAACCTTTGCCATTGTTGTTGTTTACTTCAATAAACTAATACAAGAAAGAAAGAGGAAGAGAGAAAGTTTACACAGCCAGTGAGTGGATGTTAGGCACAAATACTCACAGTGGAAAAGAGAGAGAGGGAGAAGCAGTAATTGCAAAGTAAAACAACAAAAAGGAATATTCCGCTTGTATGATATTATTTATCCGAGAAAAGAAAAAAAAAAGAGAACACACAATACCCAAATAAAAGAGAGAGCCAAACACACACACACAATATCCCATGGCTCTAGTTTATGTATTAAATTACTGCACACACACATATGTGTGTACTAGCAAGAAATGTATACCGTCAGTGAGCAGAACAGTCCAGTTTTCTACACACACACTACGGGAAAAGCAAGTAATGGAATTATTAGAAAAAAGAACACACACACATAAAAGTAAAAGTAAAAGAAAAGATATTCGAATTGAAAGAGAAAGCTGGTAAACAGATTATTAGTTTATTCACCCATGGGGGATGTACGCAAATATGATTATGTTAGTTTAACTATTATTATTATTTGTCCTCAAGTGAGACCCACTGTTCAGTACACTGTAACGGAGACCAACACAGCCACAATCAGTAGCGGTACACGCATCCACACAGGACTGACACTGCTGTCAACATTAGCCTTGTTCTGTAATGCGGAGGTGATGGTGTTGATATCTGCGTTGGGTACAGGTGCAGGA